AGACAGTTAGCTTAGTTTGGTTTCTACGTCTTGTTTTGATTCCTTTTCCAAGTAGAATTGTAATAGAACTTCATTAAACGTTGTTAGGAGTTGCTAGGTCTATTTAAGTAGAGTTGATTCGTTGTAATAGTCAGTTTATGATCAATCGAATACAAAGTAGAGCTTTGGTTCATCTCGCTAGTGGCGTGAGGAATTGAGTTGGATTGCTTGGTTGAGTCTAAGCAATCGTGAGCTTGTATCAATCAGTTCATCACCCTGATCGTGGCCAAGCATCTACCTATACTTTTCGAGCCTCTTTCCCTTGTGAAAGTTGCACGGAAGTTTCCATCCAAGTCACAAAACCACCCTGTTTTGTGAAAGGTTCTCGATTGAGACTTCAATCCGAGGTTGAGGATCTCTTTGCTGCGTTGCTTTGATCACAAACCCTGCTTTGGGGTTTATCAAGTGGCATCATCGCCTGGTTCAAGCACAGTGGACAAGACGACGGAATTTGGTGCTGAATCAACGCGTTGGACCCTATCAAAAGGTCCCGTCTCCAGTGACCCTGCTTATCAACAGCGAGAACCAGAGCAAGACAACGAGCTGAATCTGGAGGCTCGGATCGACAAACGAACAATGGCGGGACAGCAGATTGACATACAAGAGCTGATGCGACAGTTCGATGAAAGATTCACCCAATTCCGACAGGAAATCGATCAGCGAATCGACGCGATTGCGCCGCGGGAAAATAGAGTATGCGAGGAAGAAGTTCGTGGCAATATAAACCCAGCAGGCAACCCGGAGTTGCTGGGACGAATTGAAGAACTGGAACGACGTCTCGTGGAGGCCGAACCTCATCCTGATCGCCAGCAACGGGGACGACGCGATCATCACGACGCAGAGCCAGCCGTTCCACCGGGAATCAAGCTAGCCGTGCCGACATTTCAGGGCACGATGAATGCCACCACCTATCTGGACTGGGAAAGGAAGATTGTTCTATTCTTCCAATGCGGGCGATACACCGAGCAACAGAAAGTGGCCTTGGCCACCTTTGAATTTACGGATTATGCCGCGCAATGGTGGGAGAGGACACAGCTCCGACGTCGGCAAAATCTTCAGCCTGAAATCACGACATGGGCAGACTTAAGGGGACTCATGAGGGATCGTTTTGTGCCCGCTTACTTTCAGAGAGAGCTTCACGAAACTCTTCAAGCAATACGGCAAGGTGGACGAAGCGTAGAGGAGTACTATCGAGAGCTGGAACTCCTCCTAATGCGAGCAGACATCCGGGAAGATCGTGAAGCCACGATTGCGCGATTTCTTCATGGGCTGAACAAGGAGATCCGACAGGAGCTCGATCTACGAGCCTTTGTTGACCTGGAAGACGCTCTGCACCTGGCAATTAAGATCGAGAAGCAGCAGCGATCGTCTAGGAAGGTCATGCCGGGAAACAGGTCAGCAGCAGAGGCGACTGCTGAAGTAAACTCGCCGCAATTGCGAGTTGATCCTGGCAAGTTACCATCCAGAAACGTTACTCCTACCTATGCTGAGCGATCTGGTGGTATACAGTGCTTCAAATGCCATGGACGCGGCCACAAGGCCAATCAATGTCCTAATTTAAAAACACTGGTGATCAGAGACTGTGCATATCTCACTGACGACGAGCAATCTGAGTCCAGCGAGGAGGAGAAGGTCGATGAGAAGATTGAAATGGAAGCTCCGGCACCTGGGCATCTTCTGGGAGTCAGCAGAAGGGCTCTAACCATCGCGAATGAACCCGATTACAGCCAACGAGACAACTTGTTTCATTCCCGTTGCCTGGTCCAAGGTAAGGTTCTTTCAGTAATCATCGATGGCGGGAGCTGTACGAACGTCATCAGTCAAGATGCTGTAAACAAGCTTGGGTTGAGCACAATTCGACACCCTGAGCCTTACAATTTACATTGGCTGAATGATTACGGGACAATTAGTGTGACGAAGCGGGCTAAGGTGAACTTCGAAATTGGGAGGTATAAGGACGAGCTCGAATTCGATGTGGCACCGATGCAAGCTGCCCATATACTGCTTGGGAGGCCCTGGCAATTCGACAGGGGAGTTTGCCATTTTTGAGATACCAACCAATACACAGTTCGTCATCTCGGTAAGCAGTATACACTGCGGCCAATGTCGCCGGAAGAAGTCCGAGCAGATCGAAGGCAGATGGAGGCGAATCAGCGCCGTTCGAAGAAGGAAGTTCTGATGGAAGGATCCGAGGACCCTCGAGGAAGCAACAGCGTGCTTCGTAAGCTGATGCTTACGGGATACAAGAAGTTCAGGGCTCCTCGTCGGCGACGACCCTGTCCATCGGCGGCGAAACAGAGCAGGAGAGAGGTGGAATTGGGTAGAGCGATCCGTGACGAGTCGAGCTTCGCCAAAACTGAGGATACGCTCCAAATCTCCCCAGGAAGCTTGACGACGCCTGCAATTGGGACGAGACTACCTGAGTCACTGGATCCGATTCGACCCAAGAGTGCTCTGGAAACGGCGCAATACGAAGTAAAATCGAGCTTATTGGGTGGACTCATTGGCGACGATTCGACCCAAACGGCTGATGCCGAACCCATCGTCATCACCCCAGGAAGCTGTACGAACGGATCAATTCGACTGAAGGTGTTTGAATTCGAAACCCCCAAATCTGATTTACCCCTCCTGGGTTCGACGAGTTCAAATGACGACAGTGGCGGGAAATTGGGAAGTCACGATTCGAAGGCAAATTGAATGATTCGAAGGTCTACACTGGTCCCAAACTTCAATTCGAAGTCAGGCGAATCTAATGGTGGCCACGAATCGTGTTTTAGATCCCTGAAGGAGATAGCCCCAATTTCGAAGCTGAAGAACAACGCTAAGGTTGGCAAGAACTTTCAGTTCGAGCTGCCATTTTACGACCCAATTTGGGAACGATTCTGTGATGCTTACGAGGCACGAAAGGCCAAAGCTTTGAGGTCAAAGCTTTTTTATGGGGGAGGGACTGATATGATCTCAATTTGGGGCTTCAAACGATTGGAATTGATCGACCATGGAGGCAAGCTAGGCACGTTTAAGAACGTTGGTTTTTGTCTAAGTGTTTATGACTGTTTCAGGTACCCACTTTGGACGAGCATAAGTCTACATTGGTGTGATAGAAATTTGAGTTCTTGGGTTGGTGATGGACAAGAAGAGCTGCTGAATCAATCTGTATGCTTTGGAGTTCAAGGAGAAGACGAGAGGTTGGGTTTCCAAGGCGACCAAAATGCTATCTCAACACTGGAGGAACTGCCAGATTTTTCTAAGTATGGAAACCGTGTTGGGAAGGGATCTTTGAGGCTCGGGTCGAGGAAGATGAGAATGCGTCGAGCCTCCAACTTCACACCACACGAAATCAGGTTTCTTCTAGTTTATCGACAAGGTGTTGGCTGATCAAAATGATGGCTACAAGGGCTCGAACGAGAGGGCTCAAGAGTGCTTCGAGACTGAAAATGCTGCCAGGAAGAATAAATAATCCGAATCCTAGTCGGATTAGGATTAGTAGACAGTTAGCTTAGTTTGGTTTCTACGTCTTGTTTTGATTCCTTTTCCAAGTAGAATTGTAATAGAACTTCATTAAACGTTGTTAGGAGTTGCTAGGTCTATTTAAGTAGAGTTGATTCGTTGTAATAGTCAGTTTATGATCAATCGAATACAAAGTAGAGCTTTGGTTCATCTCGCTAGTGGCGTGAGGAATTGAGTTGGATTGCTTGGTTGAGTCTAAGCAATCGTGAGCTTGTATCGATCAGTTCATCACCCTGATCGTGGCCAAGCATCTACCTATACTTTTCGAGCCTCTTTCCCTTGTGAAAGTTGCACGGAAGTTTCCATCCAAGTCACAAAACCACCCTGTTTTGTGAAAGGTTCTCGATTGAGACTTCAATCCGAGGTTGAGGATCTCTTTGCTGCGTTGCATTGATCACAAACCCTGCTTTGGGGTTTATCAACTACTTTCGGTATTTACTGCAAATCTCGTATTAAGCTCGTTTTACAATTTTAAGGATAAAAACACCCGCAACTAACTAATCTCTCATTTTAATACCAGAAACAATTAAACAAGCCAAACTGACCATTTTAAAGTCATCAAAATCTTGAAGATAAATAAAACATATTTTTACTGATATTTTTCGTAAAATTCACAGTTATGCAGTTTTAACTTGGAAACTATTCTCAAGTGAAATCTTCTGATAAATCTGTTCCAATATCATTTTAGACAAACAGAAATCTCTTTGATCAGTTTTAAACTCAATAGACCAAACTATCCATTTTTATGGTGAAACTTGTCAAATATCGATATGTACACCGTAAAATCCATAACAATCAAGAATAATCCCCAAATCATCATATCAACCAAGGTTCAAAAAAGCGCTAGGCGTAAGGCAGGCGCTCGGCTCCTGACTTGTGACTTGCCCGATTAGGCGTAGCATAGGCGCGCCTAGGCGTTCAGAGCAGAAATGAAAAAAACTCTCAAATATTTCATGTTTCCTGGAATACTTCATATGATCCAAGTGCATATAAAATTAGCAATGCCTAGTTCTTAAATCTTAACAGTAAACACTTAACATAACAAATAACAAGCAAATAGTGATCACTTCCTAGAATCACAAGTTCTTAAAATGTCGAAATACTAAACAATAGTCAATAAGTTCATAGGAAAATGTTCATTCTTCATCATCCAAGTAGGCCCGTCCAGCCACCACTTCATCTTCATCATCCTCAAAAGCAATCTCCTCACCATCCTCCTCCTCTTCCTCCTCTTCAGACTCGAATTCTTCATCATGGAGCTCTCTCACTCGTGCACTTCTGCGAAGCTCACTGTGTTCACCCGCCATTGCATCTGTAACAGTACTTGAGGGTGCACAATATGATTCCTCATCCTCATCCACGAATACATACATAGCATGGTCATCCCCTCCCTCAAATAGGAAGCTTTGTGCTTCAGTTGCATCAGTACTTAAGAGAATATCAATGTTTTTCTTTTCCTTTATCTTCTTCTTCTTGGACAACAACCTTGAGTTGAATTGTATGTACACCAATTGATTGAGACGATCTGTTGTAAGTCTATTCCTTCTCTTGGTATGTATCTACAAGTACAAAATTGCATTGCAAGACATTGAGAATATGAAATATTCAAATATGAGTAATTGAATATAGTATAGATTAAGATTCAAATACTTACCGACTCAAAAGTACTCCAGTTTCTCTCACAGCCAGAAGAACTTGAGGTCAATGAAAGAATCCTCATAGCCATTTTTTGTAAATTTGGTGTGTCAACTCCATACATTCTCCACCAAGCAACTAGGAAATATATTGTTAATTTCGTACTAAATTAGAGCCATGAAATAACAAGAAAAGAAGACAAATATATGAAGTAGCAGTGTAGTACTAACCAGGATTATAATCGAAGTTTTGACAAGTCCTTGCAAGTTTCTTCCCAAAGGCGCCTTCTCTCTTTTGAAACTTCTGAAATTCATAATTCACAACCTGATCTTGCTTGTCATCATCGCCACTGTAAAATGTCTCAACACAATCCATGAATGATGTGGTGATGTTTCCATCATCAAATATGGACTCATCAACATAACTGTAGTGTGGATTCAACATATACGCAGTGCAATGCAATGGAGCATCAAGTCTCCCCTTCATCTTCTTGTCAACAATAGCCATAACTTCTTTGTAGCGAATCTCCACGTTACTAAATGCCTCTTTAATCTCCCTCTTTGCCTTCACAATTTCACCATAAACAAACCCCATAGATGGTCTCACATCACCATCAACCAAACGAAGAACTTTTACTAATGGTTCAAAAACCCTCAAGCAAAGGTGTACACCTTTCCAAAATGATGCATTCAACACCGTTGTTGTTGCTTCCTTTCCCTTCTTTGTTTGTGCATCTTTCAAGCTCTCCCACTTCCTATCCACCACCATCTTCCTAAGTGCATCCTTTTTATCCATCAAACTTTGTAATGTGAGATATTGAGAAGCAAATCGGGTTACTCCTGGTCTTATGATTTCTCTCTTCTTAGTGAAGAACCTCATGCATTCCAATGTACGATGATGCCCATAAATGAAGATAGTGAAACTTTTAGCTTGGTCAATTACCTTCTTGAACTTTGGCAAGTTGCCAATTCCTTGAAGCATCAAGTTGATGGTGTGAGTTGCACAGGAACTCCAAAAAATATTTGGTCTTTTCTCCAACAAGAGCTTCTTTGCTCCCATGTTATTGGAAGCATTGTCCGTCACAACTTGCACCACATGTTCTGGACCTAACTCCTCAATTGTTTTGTCAACTAGGTTGAAGATGACTTCACTTGTGTGTGACACATCCGATGTGTACTTTGACTTGATGAAGCTTGTTCCCTCAGCACAATGTGTGACCATGTTCATTATGCTTCTTCTCTTCGTGTCTGTCCATGCATCGGTCATAATGGAGCAACCGTTCCTCATCTTCTCATCATCACGATCACTGAGCAAGCTTTTTGTTCTTGTATATTCTGATTTCAACAAAGGCTCTCGAAGATCATATTGAGTAGGAGGCACAAATCCCGGGCCAAACTGACCAATAGCCTCACACATTTGCTTGAACTCATCATTATCAATTGAATTGAACGGTATAGCTGTAAAATAAAAGCACAAGAAGAAATTTAAATTAATTTTTTTAGGTTGCAAACAAAACATCATAGAAAAATAGATAAAAAAAAGTGCATATTGCTTACCATGTGTATACACCCATTTTGCAACATATTGTTGAACTTGAAGTGTTCTCTCTTCGAAAAGTGCTTTATTTAACTTCTGCTGATGAAGTGTTGCACCTGAAGACAACTTAGGATCAATGGAACGTGCCCACTTATCCATAAGTCCTAACTTGTGAGGTTCTGAACTACCAACACAAGTCATTTCTTCATCCTGTTGACCAGAGGAAACAATTACATCATCTCTCAACTCTTGTTCACGGAGAATCTTTTCTTTCTTCTTTTTTGATGTATTCTCAAAGGCTTTCAAGCATGCTTCTTTAGCTTCTGGTGGTGCTTTCTTGCATTTAAGCACCTTACTTGAATCTTGGGCAATATGATGCTTGAAGCGATGGATACCTCCGGTACTCTCATGGCCACAAAAATTACACCGCACTTTCTCCTTGTTATTGGGATCCACCAATCTTCCATACTCCCAACCTATATCACCAGAATTCCTTTTAAAAATATTGGCATTCTCTTCATTTGTCACGCCCGCTGCCGAACCACCAGCATCATCCATCATAGAGATAAAAGTGTAGAATCACCACCTGTCCTAAATCAGAAAAGGGAACAATTAATTAACCTAGAATCATAACCTTATCTCTTGTCGTCTTGCAAAGAATTAATTAAACTTTATTCCCTAAATTAAACAATCCTTGAACTAAGAATGACTAATAAACTATAGAATAGAAAGTAATAGACACACAATAAACTAATCATGTCCCACCCATTCCATTCTTTCATCATTTAACGAGCTTCTTTGGTGCAAAAGTAGGAAGAAAAAAACAAGGTTTTTTGTGTTTTTGGCGTCCACCAGCAAAGCTACAACTAGCAATAACAATCCAAAACCAGCAAAGCTACAACTAGCAATAACAATCCAAAATATAAGTATAGAAATTGAACAAAGGAAACAGAGACAAAGCTCGGCAAAACTCATGCTGCCCCAACTCATTTTGCAGTAACAATCACAATACAACACACAAAGGAAACATAGGCAAAGCAACGAGTTTTGGTTTTAGAATAGAAAAAACCAGGTTTCATTCAGTTGAGTTTTGGTTTCCCTTTGTTTGTTTTCTGTTCCCTCACCTACGACGAACGAGAACAGAACAGAACAGGGTACTTATAGAGGTGAGACGAGCTTCTCTTTGCGGCCGACACCCGAGTGACGAAGAGCTTCTCCGACTGCGTTGGAGCTTCAGTACAGAAAAGAGGCGGCCGACGAGCTTCGTATCTAACCTAGAATCATGGGATGGAGGAAGAAGAAGAGGGAATTAAGGTTTGGGCTACGATTGATTATGAGAAACTGAGATCAAGAAGACTTACCACTGCCCACTAGAAGCCAAAACGCAGCGTTGAATTGTGGAGATCAAAACAACTCTGTGCTGTGATAATTCCGGCGGCTGATAAAAAACGCCTAGGCCCCATTAATCGCGCCTAGGCCCCATTTGTCTCCTATTAGGTGTCCATTAATAGCTATTAGGCGCATTAAGCGCTTTTTACAGCGCTATTAACAAAAGCGAGGCGTTGCTTCAGCGCCTTGCGCTTTTTTTAGCCTAGGCGCACGCCTAGGCGCGCCTTCTTGAACGCTGATATCAACAAATAAGTCATCACCCACAGTAATCCATCCATCTGAATATGCAAATCAAGCATAAATAATCGATGCAATAATTAAGTTCCCCTTTATCCCCACACACCTTAATTTGGTCGATTCCAAGTCGGGAATTAAGTTCTAAAATATCAGTGGTTGTTCCCCAAAAGTCCTCCTCGTTTCTATGGTCCTGTAGGAGAAAACAATTTGTCATTTGGACGTCAAACGAAGAAACTGCGAGCTGATCATCATTAGTACGAAATCAGGGATTAATTCTTCATTTTCTGCTGTCCAAAATATGCAGAAAACTGGGGAGAGGGTCACTGGTTCAATTCCAGTAACATGCCACTTTATTTTTGCTTTAGTTTTTAGTGGTTGGGGAGTTCTCGATTGATTTAACGAATCCTACCTCATATGAGATAACTTCTAGATTTTTTCTCAGCCTCAAATCGTACAATTTACGTATGGTATGTGGAAGAAAAAAAATTATCCAAGGTTCGGGATGTTGCACATACCACAAGACAAGACTTGACTCGAGGATGTTGTTGATCCTCGTAAGCAAATAATGTCGAGACACTTTAGCATATTCAATAAATGTACCAGCCTTTGTGTTCGTCATAAGGAATATAAGATCGCTCCTATTTTCACATATTTGGAACATTGTGTGACTTTTATCAATCTTGATTTTAGGATTTTGCATCAATGATTCTCCTCTTTCAAATGATAAGTGTTTGTGCCACGTAACCTCTCGTCCAACCTCGCCGGGCTTCCCACTGATGATTTTCTTTGGGGCGCCTAGATCCTGCACCAATAAGCGCCTAATGGGCTATCAGATGCCCGTTAGCACTCCGACGCTCAAGTCAGTCACAAATCTAGAGAGATAAGTGACTGATAAAAGAGAGATTTTTAGTGAGAGAAGCCAACCTGCGTAAATGCCACCTACCGCGCAATATTTATACTAGGCGAGATCCCGACCAGACTCCTGGAGTTCAGCCCCACGTCAGCACACCATTAAATGCCCGGTACGGCCCAACGGTCGGGCGCTTCCACGTGGCGGCTCCTGGTCTCCTCAGCCTGGGTGCCTATGGGGACCACCTGCCAGCTGGCACGCCCTCAGCTTCCAGCCGTTGGAGATGCCCGGTCCCCGCCCTAGTTTTGTCTTCATGTGCCTGCTCACCCCCTCATGGGCCTTACCTCTATTCCTGCATGCCCTAACTCTCTATTGGGCTTGGGCCCAGGCCCTACCTATAAGCCCACGTCCTCAATAGCCCCTTTATACTCACCCAACAATTGTCCCCCAGTTAGGCGCTCATGGCTTGTGATGAGCGTCTAACTATATATAACGTCTGGCAGTCCCTGTCCATTTATGGGCGGTTAAACCCACCCCACTGTGTTCCCATGACTGGCGCTGAACTCCTAATCACGCAAAATCTTACAGACTTTTGATAATAACGGGCGCCTAAGCCCAAGTTCTGGTTAGGCGCCTTTCTTCTCTACCCTACTGCTCTCTCTACCAATAATCACACAACATTTCTCAAACTTTTATCAGAAAGGGGCGCCTAGGCCTTTGTGTTTGGTTAGGCGCCTGGCTTCTCAACCAGATTGCTTTCTCTATCAACCAAACGCACAGTCCGGGTTTTTCTAAGCGCCCGCGCCCCTATATGTCTCCCTCTCCGTGCGTCTTGAAATTTGAATTTCAAAATTTGAAATTCAAATTCGAAATTCAAATTTCAAACGAATGGTGAGGATTAGATCTGGGTGTCGGGCGCGCATCTCCATATCAGCCCGTTGGGCTCCCTCCTCATATAAATAGCAAGGTCCGCCCCTCCCCTTCCTCTTTTGTGCGAATCCTCTCTCTCTAGCTTTATCTCTCTAAACCTACCTTCCTGTGCGCCTATCCTTCCTCACCATGCCGCAAAAATCTGGCTCGCGCGCCTCCTCTACCGAACCTCTGAAAGAAAAGGGCGCCGAACCCGACATAATATCGACGTTGGAGGGTCACTTTTCGCCCGACCCGCTACGCGAGAAGGGAGCATGGACTCCTGGCGCCCGGAATCAGGCGCCTGCTAATCGCGATGTCCCTCCCTCAGCAGGCGAGCAAGCAAGTGAGGGTGCGGCGCCTCTCATCCCTCAACCAGCATCATCAGACGCGACAGCCAACGCGTCGCCGGCGTCGTCACAACCCAATCCGAGTAAGCCCCCCCCCCCCTTTTTTTTACGCGTTCATAGCTTCCTAGGGCTTAGCATTGATTTGCCCATTTGCATCGAACCTTCTAGGCGCCTCCCCTGGATCCTTGCGCTCGTCCGCACCATCGAACTCTCC